CCTGGCCCAGGTGTGCCGCGCGCTGCGGCGCGTCACCAGCTGCGACCCGCCATGGCGCCGCATCGCGCGGGCCTCGCTCAACGCCGGCTTCTCGCGGCTCGGCACAGACCTGTAAGCGCCCGCCCGAGCGGCCCCAGCACCCCAGTGGTCAGCCAGCCGTCAGCCAGTCAGTCAGCCAGCCGTCAGCCAGTCAGTCAGTCAGTCGTCAGTCAGTCAATCGTCAGTCAGTCAATCGTCAGTCAGTCGCCAGTCAGCCTGTCAGTCTGTCAGTCTCCAGCCCGCCGCCGCCTCCCCACGGTGGAGTGACGTGCGGCTGCAGGCCCAGGTAGAAGCAGACTTGGAGAGAGGCCCGGCCCAGCCGCCGGCCTCGGGCCGCGCACGCGGAGGACCCCAGAAGGCGCCTGCTGACGGGCGGCCCTTCCGGCCTGTTTTCGCGGCGCTGAGACGCGAACCCCACACTGCGAAGCGAGCGCTGCGGCGGAAGTGGGGGTGCGGAGTCGGGCGGCGCGCTCGCGTGGGCCCCCCGCCGCGGGGCGGCAGGGTGCGGCCAGGCGCTCCGACCTGCGGTCGCTGCAGGAGGCTGCCCGGTTTAAGTTTTCACTTGCCTCCCCGTAGTGGCTGTCACTGCGTCCCAGGGACGTAGTGTTTATTCAGATGTAAGTCATGACAGGCCGTAGGGTTATCTTTTTGAAATAGTCCTTAGGATAGAATCTCAAGATAGGTGTGATTAGATCAAAGGTTATGGTTTGCGAAGGTGTTGGATCAAGTTACAGTATGCCAGCAAAAAATAATTGAAGCAGTCTCCTGAGGACTTTTAAAATATCTTTGCTACTTTGGCGGATAATATATGTCATAGTTTTGTTACTTTGCACCGCTTTTACTACTGACCAGGATAAATATTTTCCCACCTGTTCGTTTCACCTGTGAGATTATCTCTTCCTACTCTGCCCATTTGTTATTAGGTTCTTAATATTTTTTCTTATACATTTAGAAGTTTTGCTTAGATGTTAGTCTGTCGTCTTTGGTGCAAATATTTTTCCAGTTTTCATTTTACTGTTTTGTGTTTGTTTGTTTTTCTTTTTTTTTTGATACCGGGAATCGAACTCAGGACCTTGCACTTACCAGGCAGGCGCTGTGCCGCTGAGCTATATCCTCGGCCCTGATTGTACTGTTTTTATCCCATAGAAGTTTTATAGGTTATTAGAATCTGCCAATCATGTTATTTTTTTTTTCCTTTCCCCCAAAGCTGAGAAACTGATAATTCTTCACAGACCAATAAATCTGTACTTCCTGCTGGTTTTCTTACAACTTGATTTTTAATAGTCTCATTAATATCTTGTTTGTTTAGGTGCAAAAAATGAATTCAGTTTAGTGTGTTTCTCTCAGTGGTTGGTTATTATTATACCTTTTGTTACCTAGTTCTTTTCTTCCCCTTGATGTGGGAAGCTAACTTTGCCATATAGTAAGTTTATGTATACATATGAATAAGTATGTTATGAGTGTGTATTTGATCTATGTGTATACTGTCCATTTTGTTCTATTGATAGATTTTCCATTTTTATGCCATTTTAAAAAGTGTTGCTTTTTGATAGTGTGTGTTAGGGTCGCATTGCTGTATATTTGTTGGATTTGTATGTGTGTGTGCCCTTTTCTACTGTTTCCCACAAAAAGTACCTTTTCAGAGATTTCTGTGGTTTTTCAGTGAAAAGTTATCATATATCTTTTCCTGAATTTATTCTTGTGGTTTCTAAATATCTTGTGTATTTTGTTTTTATTGCAAATGTGATCTTTGTGTTTTCTGGCAGAGTATGATTGATATACATGATTACTGTAATCTTTTGTAAATTTTGGTTTTTTTGTTTTTTGTTTTTTTCTTTTTTTTCTGGTACCGGGAATTGAACTCACGACCTTGCGCTTGCCAGGCAGGCGTTGTGCCGCTGAGCTAAATCCCCTCTTTTGTAAATTTTGAATCTGATTATTTTGTGTAACTTTAGTGTGATTTTGTTGGTAGTGATTCCTTAGGATTGGCAGGGGAGGGGGGAATGCAATCTTGTTTTTTTTTTTCTTTTGGTTTTTGGTTTTTTTTTTGCAGTACCGGGAATCGAACTCATGACCTTGGGCTCGCCAGGCAGGCGCTGTGCCGCTGAGCTAAATCCCCAGCCCTGCAATCTTGTTACCTGCAAAAATAGTTTTTTTTTTTCCTTTCTTTCTTGTCAGAGTAATGCTTTCACAGAATATTATCAGTTGACTCATAAGAGAAGTTGACTAAAATGACTGGAACCCAACCTAACTAAGGCAAAGTTTGGCTTTGTGTTGCTCCTTGCAGGGATTGAATGGATGGATGGATTTTTCTTTCTTTCTCTTTTAACTGTTCTGAAAGAGAGGTAGTGGGAGTGTGTCTACATTTTGATGGAATAATAACAAAGTGAAAATGAGTGTATAATGTAAAGTGCTTTGAGACTACCAAACAATATGTATGTTTTGATTTTTTACCTCATTTTAGTGTGAGGTATTACCTGCCTTCCAGGGAAGTTGTTTACCATAGCACTTGATAAAGACCAGGGTCACTGCCTGGTTTTCTGTGTTGAGGGAGAAGCTATACAAGTTACAGCAGGTGGAGAGAGTGTTTACCAGTGTGGTCTGCTTCTGGACAGCTGCAGAGGCTGCACTACTAGCAGAGGCAGTGTGTTTGTCATCCCTGGAGACAGAAGGCATGCACCTCAGTCCTCCGGGTGCAGGGACCCTGGGCCCAAAATACTGCAGGAGTGTGGCTGCTTGGACAGTGTGGGGCTGTTATGCTTTTGGATAATTCACTACAGACAGAATAAGTGGGATGCATTTTTATAAGCACAGCACAGAACTTGATTTTGTTCGAAGCCATATAACCTCATTGGCTCTGAGTTTTATTATATGTAAAGAATAACATCGTGTCATAAAGTGAGGCCTAATTGTAGTGTGCTAGCTCGTACAGTGTTCCGCGGTAGGCACTCAATAGATTGTTGTAAAACAGAACTTTTAAATTGCTTGGCTTCTCTAGTCAGATTGTACATGGCAAGAGTGGTGAGATTGCTGCATAGACAGTAGGAGGGAACACACACACACACACACACACACATTCACAGAGTTTAGTTTCTTTCTCCTGTCCTGAATGTTTTCACAAACATGACAGCAGAACCTGTGGGCTTAGGGCCTGCACTTGCTGCGTAAGAGCCTTCTGATTCTCAGAAACACAAACTGCTAAGGTTTACTGACCTTCCGGCCCAGGGCAAGCCCTGTTCAGTTAGGTTCTTCCTAACTGATCAGAGCTTTGTTGAGTAAGATGAACTGCTTTAGTTCCTTGTGATTTGTTAATGGTCTTATACTTATGCTTGAAGGCATTTGGGCCACTTTAAAACCACAAACAAATAATTTGCTTCCCTTTAGGCCTCTTGCCCAAACAGTGAACACTAATAGGTACCCTGAGTTTTTTTTTTAAAGGGACACAAAGATAGTTTGAGTCAGTCATCTGATTAAAAATCAGTTTGAAGGATTTATGAAGCTTAAAGGGAATAGAAATAACTTGAATAAAATAATAAAAATCAAGGCAGTGTTTCCCACAGCAGTATTTTAAAGTTTTCCCTGAAGAGTAGGAGGAAAATGTAACTTATATCAGTGTACAGAAGCAAAACAGTGGATTGCAGCTCTGAATGCATTATGTAGGGCGCGTGCCAGAAGTGTACTGTAGGACGGGGAGAGAGAAAGGTGCTTGCTGCAAAGTCTGTTACTGAAAATTAACAGGAGCAAGAAAAGAAAAAATACATCTGTGCATATAAACTTATTTTAAAAAATACTTTGCTATTCCTATGTTAAAGAAGTCTTCCTTGATCCCTGTCCTCCCTAATCAAGGGCTACATGCAGTATTTTCAAATAGGAATTTCATTTTAAACATCCAGTGAGCAGTACCTGGGTGCTGTCTTGCTCTTGCCTATATTAGGTTAGCCTGGAATTAACAATAGGTGCTTCTAGAGTGCGTGAGGTGTTTGCCCTGGCATGCACACTCATTCCCCTGGAGGTCCTGTGGCCTTGGAGCTCTTTGAGCCTGGGGGACGGGGTATCTATTTCAGTGATGATTAACATCCAGAGTGGTGAGATAGACACAGATAAGCAGAATGTGTTTGTTTGTTTTAAAATGATTGCGCCTAAGAGCATCTCTCTCTCTCTCTCTCTCTCTCTCTCTCTCTCTCTCTCTCTGTCTCTCTGTCTCTGTCTCTCTCTGTCTCTGTCTGTCTGTCTCTCTCTCTCAGAAAGCATAAAGTTTCCTTTCCTAAGTGACAGGAGAGGCCATTGCCAACTGGTTACATTTAAAACCTAAACTGATTCTCTGAAAACAGCAACTCAAAGTAGCTTAGGCTTTCTGCTTCCCTTTTCTACATTAGCTGGGGAGGAGAGGCGCTTACTTGCTCTAGTTTATTGAAAGCTTCATTCCTTGGACATACTCTCTTCGGTTGTTTTCGAAAGGTCTTATTTTTAATGGCTCTGTGAGTTATTAAAAGTACGGTTCAGTTTACATGCTCAAAATAAAGAGTACACCTGTGGAAACAGGAAATGTTCTAGGGCAGTCACTACCTTCAATGCAAACTGGAGGAATGGAAGGGTCTTCACCAAGAGTGCGGGAGTGTAGGAGCTGCCGAGACTTTCCCAGGCTTATCCACTTTGAATGGTCGGAGGTGAAGTTCCTGACTTTCAAGGCAGAGACCCAGAGTCTTTAGGAATTCCTACTGGAAAGATGTGTCTGAAAATATTTCATTACTCCATACCTTCAGTTTTTTGCTTTTAGAACCTTCACCTTAGGTAAAGATTGTGCTTGAGCTGCTGAAATCCAGCTGGCAATGAGGTTGCTGACTAAGTATACAGATTTCTTTTCAAAATTATTGAGAATTTGACAGAAAAGAATAGCTTTGGTGTGACAACCTTAATTCTGGGTTGACTCTGGCGTTGTATTACTCTCTGGTCCTGACTCCTAAACATGCAGTGGGGAGAAATTGAGGTATACTCTTTTTGAGGCCAGGTTCTATAAATTTTGAAAATGAAGATGAAGAGGAAAAGTAAATAGAAAATTGGGTTTTGAATTT